CAGCAGAGCACTTTTCACACCCTGCTGCTGAGCGTTCCCCCCCTCCCACCACCCCCCAAGGCCCCGAATTTCACCAGGGCCCCTTGTTTCCTCTTGGGGAAATCCCCTGCAGAGCAGCCTCTGCTCCACCGTCAGTGCACCCAGCTCTTTTGCAAAGTGTGCAGAAGAAATTGAAGGGAGGCCCAGACCAAGTCCTTAGTTTCTACTGTAACTGCCCCTTTGTTTGGGTTCTTCAAGTGAAGAGCTCTGAATGACAGTGGGATGCTCCGTGTTTGGCACAGGGCAGGCACCCAGGCTCTGCAGGACCAGCACGGCTTTGACTTTTGCTTCCAGCTGGAACTGAGCAGTTTCTGTTATCTGCATGTGCAATGTGAAAGCAAATCGGTCTCTCCTTTTTCAATCGTTTGTTTAGGAAACTATGGTCTAGAGATAGGTGAGCTGAGAGAAGTTGTGTAAACAAGGTCTAGCTTGCCTGGAGGTTTCATTTCCCACACAGAGAGAAGTTGTGCTGCAGATGCACAACTCCATGTAGTGGAGGAGGTCTACTCACTGCTTGCATGGTTGTCTTAAAGACTGAGCCAGCTCTGCCCCCTTCCATGCACCCCAGTCCCTTGTGCCACCAAAACCTTTGTGTTGGGGACAGAGCCATGAGGAGTCCTCCGGAAAACTCCAAACACGAGCCCAGAGCTCAGGGGTGACCAATTTTCAGTGCCAAAGCTGTATGTGACTTCCAGACACATTGAGAGCAACCCCAGGATGGCTGCTATGAGGGTAACCAGGTAATCCAAATCTTGGCTTGTGGGAAGAGTCCAGCTGGAAATACACATGTGCTCTTACAGTTTTGGTTGATGGTTAGTTGTAATTGGGGCTCCCAGCTCTCCTAGCCCCATGCTCTGATCTTCCAAGCCCTTTCCTTTTCCTTCCTGCTCATCCACGAAACTCTCCGCTGTTGTTTTCAGCTTGGAGATCTCTCCTGTTGGTGAGTGATATGTAGAACGCTTTCCTAGGTCGTTAATTCTGTATCATCAGTAATAATAATTATACAACACTGAGTATTATTAGTAGAGCAGTTGTTTGTGTGCATTACTTGGAGCCAAACCACTATACGGTTATTTTGTGTGATGGGTAACCGGAACGATGCCAGGTTGGTACTTAATGTGTCTGAGTCATAAGCAAGCGGAGCACCTCCACGAGGAGGCTGGTGCAAGGCAGGGCACTCTGGAGCTGCACTTCGGGGAGGACTTGGGTGATACTTCTGTCCTGATGCTGGACTTTGTTGGGCTCTGGTGTTGCCCTTAAATTTTGCCTCTGCCTCCTACAGCCCCCTCAGGAATTTCTTCAGGCCACAGTCCTTGGAGCTGCTCCTCCTGACTTGTGCCTGGCACCGAGATCTCCAGGGCACGGACAGTTTGCTTGAGAAGTGGCTCTCAAAGGGATTGTGCGTCACACTCGGAGGTCCTGCAGAGCGAGGCCAGCGGCGTCTTGGGCTACAGCAGTCTCAAAGAGGGCTGTAGCAAATGAGCCACGCACTGTTACTCATGTTACTTTTTCCACAAGCTCTATTTTGCTTTGGTCATGCTTGCAGATGATCTGATTCTTGTAGAGAAGAAACTTCTCCTTGTCTGCTGAGGGTTGGTATAGCCGCACTGAGGCTATGACCTTTTAGTTTTGAGTAAAACAGCTGGGCTGAGCAGCAGGGCAATGAATTGGTTAAGCGAGGTAAATGCTACTTCCACGTTTATCCTCTTTGGGACCTCTCTCCAGGAGCTTGTCTGTCATATTAGAATTTGTTCTTAGACATTGTCCTAAATAGTATCCATCTCTTAATTTAGAAAAAGAAATCACTTGTTTACCCAGATAGTCCTTTTTATCTTGTTTTTTTTCCCCTTGATTCTGTCTGAGTTGCTTCATCTTGGCCTAATGTGCTTTATTCCTAGTCACCCATGTTTGATGGCAAAGTCCCTCACTGGCACCACTACAGCTGCTTCTGGAAGCGGGCTCGAATCGTGTCCCACGCAGACATTGATGGCTTCCCTGAGCTCCGGTGGGAAGATCAGGAGAAAATCAAGAAAGCCATTGAAACTGGAGGCCCTGGAGGAGGTAAGCAGAGGTTTCCTAGTGTTTGGAGATTCAGCTGGAACTGTGCTCCCTCTTCTTAAGCTGTTACTGTGGTTATCTGATTGCCGTGTCCTTTCAGCAAGTGATGTTGGAAGAATTGTTGTGGCATCTCAGCAGTCCAGGGCTAGGATGCTGGCAGTAGGATCCAGCATGTTAAATCAAGGAGGAAAAAAGCTAAATATTTCTTGTTATCATGATTGGTGTGTTTTGTTTTCAGGTTTTTAATATTAACAAATGCTGTTGTTGTATGTTGTTTTAATGGTATCTTCACTGCAGCATATGGTTATGGTGGCTCTTTGAAGTCGTTACACCATGAACTAGTGAGTCAGGGGAGCAAGTGAGAAGGGTCTAAGTACAGAACGGACTAATCTCACCACAACTCTGTGCAAACCAAGGATGCTGGGCAGTTTTAAATTGATGTCTGCCTTTTGAAATGTAGTAATACAAAAAAATAAAAGGAAACTGGTAGTTGGGAAGAGGAGTTCTGCTTTGAAGCAGAGCTATTTGTGACTCCTGTTACAGTCAGTTCTTCAGGAAGATCTCATTTTACGTTACTTTCGGGAAAGAAGTGAAAAGGGTCGGCTCTGTGCACCTTTGAAAGTCTTCTAAAATCATTAAATAAGCAATGCTGTACAATTGCTACTTGGCTGTTTAAAGAACTCTTTCTATTTTGAAAGTGCTTTTGAGCATGGACACTTATCCTGCTCTGTATTCAAATTCTTGACAGATCAGTTGCTAGAACACAGAGGTTTATTAATCCAGACTGCTAACAATCTGGGACAGAGAATAAGAAAATAAGGGAATGTCTTTTCAAGCTGAACTCTGCATTTGCTTTGTTCTCCAGGAAAAGGAGGGGAACAGGAAGGAGGTGGCAAGGCTGAGAAGAGCCTAAATGACTTTGCTGCAGAATATGCCAAGTCTAACAGAAGTACTTGCAAAGGCTGTGAACAGAAAATAGAAAAGGTAAAAAGCTTTTCTTCACTGACCATCTCTTGTCTTTTCTCCCACCATTTCCAACTCAAACAGTGGCTTTTATAATTGCTTCCTGTCTGTCCTGCATATGGAAGGCACTTGCAGAGCTGCGTTTCTGTTTCTGAGGAGCAGCTGCGTCCTGGACAGCTGACAGTAAAGGCATCCCTCAGGCGTTGTAGCCTGGGCTTCAAACCTGCTGATGCTTCCTTTCACTTGGGTCTTGGAGCAGACTGGAACGCCGCTCACCAGCTTTTCTGTGGCAAGAGAGCCACCACTAACTGCAGCTTTTCCTGCATGTTGCAGCACTGCAAAGGTGTTGGACTCTTCTTCCACCTCAGCCAGACCAGCTGTCTGTGTGCAGCGTATCCATGCTAACTCCATGAAAGCAGATAAAACCAGCGATGCAGCTAATTAACGATGCAGCCCTGTAGTTGAACATGTCTTGGTGCTCTGCTTTTAAAGACAGTTGGCAAAAGGAAGTTGTGAGCCTCTGATAGATGTGGATAGACCTGACAGTTGGGTAAAGTTGGCAAGGGCCAAACACCAGTGCTGGTATGCTTGTATCTGCAGAAACATTGGTGACTGCTCTGTAGACGTTTCCTTGTTGGGGCATGAAATGTTGCAGTCTAAAAGCACCTAAGACATCTACTTCTTGGGCATCTGAAAAGTAATTTGTAGTAAGATGGGGTGAGATCATATTGGCACTGGTGCTTGAGTGGTAACTTTATGTCCCATAAAGTTAATTTTTAGAGTTGTCTGTATGGGATTAGGTCATGTGAGTTTTGCTTGTTCACGCTTACTGGGAGTTGGAGTAAAGACTATAGAATTACCCATTTTGAGTGGGTTTTGAATACAAAGCTATCTAAAAAGCTCTTTTTTTTTCAACCTAGAAAGAGTAGTGAAGAAAGTAGAGGAACTGTAGTGAAAGGGGTTGAACAAAAGTTGCAGGCTGTGGTAGAGGAACTTTTGCTGGTTTACAGGTGTTTAGGAAGCATCATGTTGGTAACTTGTTAACATCCTGCTCTTTCCAGAGTGGACTAACAGTTGCTCTTGTGTTGCTTTAATCTACCTCAGGGCCAGATCCGGATTTCCAAGAAGATGGTGCATCCTGAAAAGCCGCAGCTGGGAATGATAGATAACTGGTACCACCCGGACTGCTTTGTGAGCCGCCGAGCAGAGCTGGGCTTCCTCCCGGCATATGGGGCCACCCAGCTCCTGGGCTTCAGCATCTTGAAAGCCGAAGATAAAGAAACTCTGAAGAAGCAGCTCCCAGCTACCAAGAGTGAAGGGTATGTGGACAATGTGAGAAATTACATTGCCTAGAGGAGCCGTTGCTTGCCTTCAAATACATCCGTGATCAATATTTTGTGACGTGTTGTCTCTGTTAAAGAATATTGGTTGTAGGAGGATTTGGTCCTTCCTCTGACCTTAGGGAGATGACAACAGACAAATTCCCGGTCCCTGGGAGTGTGCAGTCCACTTGCCCACTGCGACCGCCTTGAGAAAATGCAGAGACCAGCAGCTGTGACTTGAAGGACTGATGTGAGGCTTTCAACCATGCACTAATCCATGTTTAATACAAATGGATACTGGGCACTGCGCCTCCTTGTGTGATGCTGTTATCAGTGATGGTTTCTCTGCTGTAGCCACTTGTTAGAGAATTGATTTGACATCTCTTATCTATGAGCTGCTGATTTGTGACAGGCACTGAATCTGATAATGGTGTTTATTGGCCGCCTAGGGCTTACACTTGAATGCTTTTGTTTGCTAGATCTTTTATGGTGCGTCTGAAATTTTGTTGCCTTGCATTGAAATTTTTAGTGGAGGGTCTTGACAGAACTTGTACTGACAGAGAAGCGCTTCCAGGTGACTTGCTAGCTTGGATCAATCTTTCTCTGTTAATGAAGGCTTTTGTTATTTGTTTTTGAAGTGATTTCGCCTGGAATCATGCTTCATGACACAAGCCAGTGTTGCATTGTCCCTGTGGAGGAAGGAACATAAGGTGTTTCTGGGTCCTACAAATAGGAAAGATGTTGTTGTTGTAAAACATTGAGCTTCTCTGAGTACCTTGTAGACTGAATTCAGCTTTACTTTTGCAAGGATTCATCATGGAACTGTGCAGTGAGACTGAAGTCAGGTTCTGAGAAGCCGTAGCCACGTCAAAGGTGTGCAGTTTTTGTCAGTACTGGTCCTCCAGATAGGTGACTGGTGGGCACGGCGTACTGTTCAGAGCCTTGTGTGTATGTAAATGTCATCCTCGGCCATAGGTATCAGAGCGGAGTGTGCACAAACTGATCTGTGTGTTGTTAAGAGGCTGCGACTTCCACGCTTTATTCTTGGTTGGCAAGCGGTTGCTCCAGCAGTGTTCAGCTGTGGTGCGGGTGCTGTGGGGAGGGTCCTGCAGTGCGGCAGGAGCAGGTGCTCCTGCCAGAGACCCCTGAGGTTCTGGGCTGTTCCCCTCACTTGGCTAAACCACTGGAGGCTGGGATGAGCTGTCTGCATCGGCCCAGCAGCCTGCCATCTCGTCACGCAAACATTTCACCCTGTGTGTGCTGCAGGATGTAAGTACAGTGTTTTAATGCACTTGCAGCTTTTCAAGTAGTCTTTTGCTTTTTGTGCTGAGATATGTGTTCCGCTTTGTCCTAGAACAGTGTGTGAGTTTAATAGGGTTATTTGTAGTTTTCTCCCACGTCTTCAGCAAAGCTCTAGAGATTTGACTGTGTAAGTGTTTCTCTTGTCTGCCCTGACTCTGCTGTTCTGGGCCACTTCTGGGATGCTATGCAAAATATGAAGGCTTTGTAAAGATAGGCCACAGAGTAGTTTGCCAAGTCACTGTGTAAATAAAAGCCTAGAATTGCAGTGGAAAAAAGCGTAGACTGGTGATGTAGTGTAATGTGAACCAGGACCTCATGCCAGAAAAGCAGCAGGATGTCTCATCTTTCCTGCTTTCTAAGCACTGCATGAACAAACCCCTCAGCTGTGAAGGTGCTGGCTGGCTCTTACGCTCCAGTACCTTTCTTCTGCGGTTTGGGCTGTGTGCTTGAGCCAAGGGTGTTAAGGGTCAATCGGAAAAATAGTTGTCTGTCAAACCGAATGAGTGAGTGTAAATAAACAGAATGAGTGGAGAGGTGTGGTGTGCTTCCTACCTGGTGATTTTCTGCTAACAAAGCACAGAAATTCCAGAGAAGCCAAAAGAAAAACATCCCAGAAGCTTGAATGAGATGCAGTTACCTCCAATAATTCATCTTGTGCGTTCAATCAGATAACAGAAATTAACGACAGAAATTACAGCATCTCGCAGAAATGATATTACAGCATCTGCTGTAGGTGAGATTCTCAAAATGATCTTTAAAGATATTTCTAATTGTGCTGCCTCCAAATTATATCTTGACTCGAATGTCTCTGCAATTCAGATGTGACACATCCAAATTCATGTGCTGCTTCTGCATGTCTCGCCCATACTCCGAGGAGAAGCTCAGGCTTTGGGACTGCCCTGTCAGCCCTTTCTGTAGGGATGGCAGTGTGATGTACCTATTGCAGAAGAGAGAAGTGAGGTGCCGAGCAGGGCTACCAAGAACAGGTTGGAAAATCCCTGCCCTCTGAAGGGCAAAAATGGGAAGGTTTCCTCCAAGGATCCTGGCTTCCTTCCTTGGCCAGTTCTGGGTGAGACATGCCGACCCTCCCCTGGGCTACGGGCTGTCCGTGCCTGAGGGCCAGCACTTTGCAGGCCTGGGGAAGGAGGATCTTGTGTCCTTGCCAGCAGCTTCTCCGTGGAAAAGATGTAGGAAATGCAGTGGCAGCTTGAGAGCTCCCTTTGACTGTGCTTCTTCAGTAGCATGTGTTTCGCCCTCCTGCTCTGAGCTGTAATACTTTCCTGTATTTTCTGCCTCGCTTGTTTGGGTAGAATTGCTGCCCAGGACAGGAGCAAAGTGTCATTCTGGAGATGTCATGCAGCACCAGATTAACTGCAGAGGTTGCCTGATGCAGAGGGTAAGTACTCGGGTCAGCAAGAATCTGGCAGTGCTTTACTGGGAGGAGGAGAAAAGGGGAGTTCTTGTTCCTCCCTGCATAGGCTGCTTGCTTTATCCAGGGTTGCCATGACTGTCCTTTCTGCCTTTCATTTTCATTGTAGGGAGGGGAACATGAAAAATAGAAAGTAGATGGTAAGGAAGGGCCAGGCTAGAGCAGGACAGTTCACCTCCCCCTTCATCTTCTTGAAGGTTGGAATAAACCTTGAAGTTGTGTATTCTCCATGAAGGTGAGAAGTGGTTTGCGTTGGCTGGTGAGTACCACTCCTTCTGAGCAAGCTGTTGGGCCGTACCTGTGGAATGTGGGAAGACTGTCCCTTCCCCAGCGGGAGAGAGGGTGTACACAGTAGCACCCAGCTGCTCTTAGCAAGACGCAGTGTTTGGTCCCAAGGATGTAAGAGATAATTAATGTGTGTGTCAGTGAGTGTGTATTTTGTCAATTGTTCTAAAATTTGCTGGTTTGGGAAGATGCGAGATGAATTTGACTTTGCCATTACATTCTCTGGGCTGTATAGAATGATGATTAGTGTTTGCTTTAAGCCTTGGGCATAGCCAGGGACAAAAGAGAGGGTGGTAACGGACAGCTTTGTGCCTCTCTGCAATTGGGATGATCCCTCCTGCTCTGCAGTTTGTTCGAGTGGCTGGAACAGGTACAGTAATCACTCTGTCCGGGAGGGCAGCACCCTTGACTCTGAGGAGAAGCTGCCAAAAGTGTGAGTCCCTGCTGGAATTTAGATGCTTTCCCTGGGTCACAGGGCCTCTCAGTAGAGTGATCGCCTTCCGGCAGTTGCTGTGCTGGCTTTCCTTCTTTTGGAGACTGGGAGACAAGTTACGGCATAGGAGTGGGTTCTGGCTTGCTGGAGGCAGCCTGACTGGGGGCCTGCCGAGGGAGAGGCACAGCGTTTGGGCACCCATCCGAAGTACTTACATTATTAAGCCCTCTGGCTTGGGAAGGTGCAGCAGAGAGAACGCTTAGCACTTAAGCTAATATGTTTTTCCCAGATTGTGTTGTGTACTCTGACTCTGTGAAAACTTACAGAAGTCATCATCCTCAAGGCAGGGCTCACTGGATGCTCTGGTCTTGCCCCTTGCAGGGGCTGCAGCCGGGGAGGAGAGAGGACTTGCTTGGCTTGTGGACTTCTGAAGGCACAGCTGTGTGTGTGCTGTATTCAGTCCTGCCACGCTGGTCCCTGCTTGCCTGATTTAGAGCACAATATGGAGTTCTTCTCAAGAAATGCAGGCAATTGGTGGTAGCGCAGTGCGGCTGGTGTTCCCCCTGCGGCAGTGCGCCTTGCAGCATAGCCCCCGCTCCGCTGATGGGACTTTGCAGGGGGACAGCTGAAAGATGAGCTCTTCTGCAAATCCAGCCCCTTGACGACTTGGAAATTGCTCCAAGTCCTGGCTTGGTCAGAGGTGCTAATGACGGGCTAGTGGTGGCCACAGCAAATAAAATGAGAACTTGGCCCAGTTCTAGGGCCAGGACAGTTATTAGAACTTACAGGTCTCTCATGCATGAGTCTTTGGGAGAAGAGTACCTTTTGACATCTTCCTGCAGCTTTATAGCTAGTAAACTGTCATACAGTTTTAGTCTTAACAGTAGCAAAATACTAGAAATTGAAGTGTTTAAAACTGTAAGTAGGAGAGCAATTGAGAATGTCAACTTTACGGCTCAACCGTCAGCCACAGCTTATTAAGTTAAGACAGATGCTTTCTTAAAAAGAAACCTGGCTGATGTTTCAAAACGATAGCAGCTGTGTCAAAATGAAGTGCGAGATCCAAGCTGTGTTCATGCTCTGCCTCAAGTTGCAGGCCCATCTTGCCTCAAGTGGGGCAAAATTTCCCTTTATTTCGTCATGAGGAGAGCACCTGATTTGATTTATTGGTATTGATTTATTTTGAAGCCAGGCAGACCAAGGGGATGACATGACTGGAAACATAAATAATCTTCCTCTGAGATCTCTTGTCGTTCTGAAGTCTGCCGAAATTCTCACGGTTTTCACTTGGCTTCCTCTTCTTTCCAGTCTTTCTCGAGCAGTTTTTCTCTAACTTCTCCCTGCACAGCTCTAAGGCTAATAACAATAAATTTCCTCACGCACGACTCCACAGTAGTACATCACGAAACCATTGTCAGCCTGGGAGCACTTTGCAAGTAGAAACTTCCTCCTGTCTGATTTGAGAGACCTGACTTAATTCCAGTCTGAAGAGAAACTAGCTGGGAAATACCTAGTTTCCCAGCGTGTTAGCTTATTAAAGTTACTGTGCTTGCTGTCCTTTATTTCAATATGGACTGTCTAAGCTGAAAAATCAAGCTGTTGATTCAGCTGAAAGACACTGTAGACTTTTAACCTGCATTGCTACACCTCTTCAGCTTTGGAGAGGTGTGCTTATATTCAGTGATTCCTAGGTATGCCTTTGGTGTAACTAATTGGGTGTAGATGAATATGCCTGAAAATGTCACAGTATTTCATGTGCTCTTTTGCCAGACCATACAGTTACCCTGTGGAAAAGCTCTAAGTGTACCTGACCTGATTGAGATTGCTCACGTTGCAGAGCCAAGTACACATCTACAGTCTAGCGCTGAGGAATTTGAAAAATGGGTTTACGGGCCAAAACAGGATATTCAAGCCTCTGCAGATATCGGCAGTCAGTAAACTGAGCTCTGGTAGCTGCTGAACAGGCATTTAAATAACTTCCTTTCATGTGTGTGTGTGTTTTGTTTTGTTTTTCTCTATTAGAAAGAGAAAAGGAGAAGAGGTAGATGGAAATGTGACTGCAAAAAAGAAACAGAAAAAAGAAAAAGAGAAAGAATCAAAGCAGGAAAAACAGCTGAAGGTGAGTTTTAGCTGATCACATCCTAAAACCCACTTTGTTAGAGAGCGGTGTCAGGCATGAACTGAAGAGCTATGACACCTAGAGAGGGGCTGTACCTCGTGCCCAGACAAGCAGAGTTGCAGCAATGCCAGTCCTCGTGTCCTGGCGCAGGAGATGCCCTGTCACTAAGGCTTTGCTGAAGGCAGTTCACCCTGCTGCTTTCTCCTGAAAGACAGGAAGGAAGTTCTCTAGGACGTGTGCTTATTGGATTTAAATAGATTAGGTTCAATGCCTTCTCTCTCAGGGAGGCTGGTTCTGTGGTCCTTCCTGTGTCATCTGGTTGTGGTGGATGAAGCTCTGAGCCTGAGCACTGTTGCAGAAGAGCTTGGAAAGCAATAAATAGCTCATTGTAAAAAAATAAACAGAGGTAAAGTGCGGAACTAGATTAATGAGAAATCATATCTTTTCACCCTCTGGGAAGCTGTGTTCAGTTCTTGGGTACAAAGTGTGATAGATCACAGCTTCCTACCTTTCACTTACTAGAATATCATGGGAAGAATTCCCAATAGAGCATCAGGAATTTTCTGTTTATTGAAAGTTTGGTGTAGGTACTTTCTAAGAAAAAAAACTAGCAAGCTGCTTTTGCTGCGATTGAAGTCTTAATGGAGCTGTAGAAAAATGGTGTGTCTGCCTTTGAACAAAAGTTTTCTTTTTTATTGTGTGGCAATACGTTAATTTTCAACAAAACTTAGCTGAGGCAATATCAAGGTTTTACTGCTGCAATGCAGACGTTTAGGACAGATCAAGACAATTTGTGGACCAGGGCTAACTTTGGGTTCACTACTTTTTTTTTTTAAGACCATTTCATCAGGCATGATCATTAACACTGAAAATTAAACCATTTAACACAGTCAACCAGTTATTCCAGGGTGGACTGCATTTTTGACTGTAGCAAACTATCTGAGATATTTTAGGATGCTGCTTTGCTGTCCAGCCCTTTTGCCTTTTGTAGAAAGGCCCAAAAGAACGTGCAGGCTCCTCTGCACTGCTGCAGGTGACTGATCTGGTAGAAATTCCTCTTATGCTTAGCTGGCTTAAAAGAAGAACAGTCCAAATCAGCATAACTGACTTTTGTTTTAAAGCAAGGCTCAAACACAGCCACATTCCAAGTGTCGACTGGTTCGGTGATATTTGCAAAGGCTGTTGAGAGCTTGCTAAGGGTAGAAGTGTGATAGAAACATGGATTCCACTCTACCCAAAAGCTCGCTGTCTTGTTAGCCTTGCTTGTACCTTCTTGTGTGGGATAGTCCTGTAAAGGTTACTCTGTGGCCTTTCTTCATGCGTACATGATGGAGAAGCCTTGGTTTATACAGAATCTCATAGGGATGTCCTTCCACATGTAATCTTGAGGAGAGAGAGTATTTGCTGAAGCCACAATGTGCTTATCTATTCCTACTGAAATATGAAGCATGTGGCTTTAAAGACCTGTTCGAGGTTTTTGGGTAAAGTGTGTGACTCTCCTTTTTGGTAAAGCTGCTGGTTCTTGGTGCTCTTCATCTCACAGTCTGCGTTTAAGGTATCATGGACTTGCTAAAACCTTGTCCACATACTGCAGTTTCAGGAGTGTTCTTAGAAAGCAATCGATTGCAAGTAGCTAAGCTGCGAGTTTTGTCAACAGGAGCAGACAGAGCTGATCTGGGGCATCAAGGATGAGCTGAGGAAGGTCTGCTCCACTAACGACCTGAAAGAGCTGCTGATTGCCAACAGGCAGGACGTTCCTTCAGGGGAGAATGCCGTGAGTTGGTCTGTAGTTGCTTTGCTTGTGTGCTGGGTCTTTGAATCGGTGAAGCTGACCCAAACTAATATTGCTGCAAGGTCTGCAAGTCTGAAGCATGTTCCTAACATAACATTTCAGAAGGAAATTCAGTGCAAAGCCCAATCAGTCCTTTTGTCCCAGGACTCGGGTGATACTGCTGTTACATGTGCTTGTGAAGGGCTGTGTGGTGGTGTGTGGTACTGAATTCAGCACCTTAATCTCAGTGATGTGCCTTTATTCTGCTGTGCCCAAGCTGGTCCATGTTTTTTTTTGTTGCTGGCTCTTCAAGAGTTATGGCTTGAGGGTTAGTTATGACACTTCACATTGCCTCCCTCAACTGTTAAATTATGCAAAAAGAAGCAAAAATTGCACAAATTCTTCCCTGGTATCTTTTCTAAAAACAGTCAATTTTCAGTCTGTGTAACTTGTGAAAGTCTCCTCTCTTTCAGAGCCACGCATCACTTTAAGTATTTGTATTTATTAAGACTCTTTGTAAGGAGTGTGGGCTGGGATGTGGGAAGTGTCTAGACTCAAAATGGTCAAGAAATACTCTCGAGGCAGGAAAACCGGGACTTGTCTGAGCCTACATTCCCACCTGCCTACTCATGTGCTCAGATGCAGTAGCTCGTCTCCTCGGCCATTCTGGCATGGCTGCCTGGTCAGGTGCTGTGTGGTGAGTATGCTCTCGTGAATGCCAAATCCGGATAGGAGAGACTGCGAGCCATCGGCGTGAGCAGATACGAAGTTTCCCCGATCACATCATGTCATGTCTTTAAGGCATTGTAAATCAATCAGTGCTGTTAAGAGTCTTGGTTTATGTGCAGTGTATGTATGACAAGCACTGGAAACATCTACGTCTGCGTGCCAGCAGCCTGACAGTTCCTTTCGTGTGTGGCCTGGTGTAATGTAGTGCATGGACTTCCAGCCTCCTTCTGCCATGACCTGTTTTGTATTCTTTATTGCTTTAGATTTTGGACCGAGTAGCAGATGGGATGGCATTTGGAGCTCTGCTTCCCTGCGAGGAGTGTAAGGGGCAGTTTGTGTTCAAGAGTGACGCGTATTACTGTTCAGGGGATATTACTGCCTGGACTAAGTGTGTTGCTAAAACGCAGACTCCCAAGAGGAAGGACTGGGTAATCCCAAAGGTGGGTGTTTACTGCCAATTTGATCTGAAGCACACTTCTTAACTGATGTTACTTCTTGTAAGGAAATTGTATAAGCAGCAGTCAGTGTTGGATGCTGGATAGCAGAGCGTACTGCAGCGCTGAGCAGCTGTGACAATGGGGAAGTCTTGTCACAGCTACATCCCTCCAGGGCTAGGCAGCTAATGCATAACTAAATCATATTTTTTTCCAGTAACACTAAATTGAAAAAGATGTTGCTGATTTGATTTGAAACCCATCATTTACCCTCTTCTAGCTTTGTTTTCCAAGTCAGTAAAGTGGGTATTTGCCTGCCTTAGTATGAATGTCTCAGAAATCCTTTCCAAGACCTGCAGTAAATGCCAACATCTTTAAATATTTAATATAATCTTTAAATATTATAGTAGTATTTGTTGTCTTTTAAACCCTACTTATACTTCCATCCCACAGGAGTTTCGGGAAATTCCTTACCTGAAGAAATTTAAGTGTAAGAAGCAGGACAGAGTATTCCCTCCAGATGCTGCGGCTGTGAACTCTGTGCCTCCTCCCTCGGCATCCGCTCCTTTGGCAGAGACTGTGTCCGCACCCAGAGGTAAGCGACTGCCTGGGCACGGGTCAGTGGGGTTCAGGATGATGTTTAATGCCATTCCCGGCCAGACAAACATGCCACCCTGAACAGGCATGCTGTTCTCCTGCCCCCAAGCAGGCAGAGCTCTCCTGGTAAAAACAGCATAGCAGAGTCTCATGTGCTTCATCTTGCTAGCGCAGGTAGACCCTGATGTGGTGGGTTGCCTGGGGACGTGGGCTTGAGGTCCTGGTGGTTTTCTAATAAATCACTTTGGGTATTTGTTGATGGTGAGGAAATGATGTGTTTGCAATGAATCAGAAACTTAAAGGCTGATGTTGCAAAATGTGTCCCAAGAGAGACCCGCTGTGAAATACCTTCTTGCTTGGTTTCTTGGGGAACATCCAGGGACCTCTATAATGCCAGATATTCCACATCATGTTAGGTTTTAAGGGCAAGAGGGTGTTGTGTTTTGTTTTTTTTTTTAAATCCTCCATTGGGATCTGGCTTTACCAATCACTGACTGTCATTATGCAAAATCAATACGTTGTCTGCAGCCCGCAAACTGGCAAAAGGTTGGACTCGAAATTCCCTGTAGGCTGTTGGAATGAGTTGCATGTTTGGTGATATAGCCTGTCCAGTAAGAGTTATGCGGACTTCTTTCTTATTCATCCTTTTTAGCCTTGGCCATAGTTTTGGGAGCAGGGGATTATCATTACTTGGTGAAAAGGGTGAGAGTAATTCTGCACAACTAATTTTAGCCAGATCATGGTATTTTAGCAATGAAGACAAAGTAACCCAGGTCTTGGTTCTGAATGGCAAGTTGATTCCAGCCCCAGTGTGCCCTGAAAGTTAACTCAAAACATTGACCAGAATTAAAGTCAGATTACTTTGTTTGCTAGCAACCCAACTAATCTGAGCTTAGGGGGAGAAGAGGAAACAAACCCCTCAATTGGTCAACCAGAGTTAATAGCATTTCTCTTTAGCAGTGCAGATATGCTCTTAGAAGCTTGCCATGTCCTGGACTCACCTGCACTGCAAAGTATTAACACGATGATGTGATGGAGCTTCAGATGGTTACCAGTTTGCTCCTGACTTGTTACGGGGTTTACATGATACAACCTTGTACTGTCTATAAGATCAAGACTGCAGTGTACTGTAGTGTAGGAACACTGTTGCTTGAGAGTCGATTCTCTTTCTCCAGCCCCTCAAAAACAGATTTCCTTTTGAAGAGGCAGGAGCTTTCATGTTACAGTGAGATTCTCCCATGCTGTCCAGGCATCAAAAGAAGAGGGAAGAAGACTGATTATTTTTTTTTTTTTTTTAATTTTTATTAAAAAAAAAAAAAAGGGCAGCAAAAAA